CCGGGGGGGGGAAGGCAGGCGCTGCCGATCGCCCGCAAGAGGCTGGAGGGGAGGGAGGAACCTGCCTTCCCCTGCTCCTTCCAGCGGCCCATGGCTGAGGGACTCTCCTGGGATGAGAAAGAGGGTTCAGACCCAGTCCCCTCGCTATCTGCTCCTCCAGAGCATGCCCTTGCTGCCAGTTAGCTGGAGGGGATTAGCTCGAGTATATTTTCTCCTGGGGAAATGCTGCAGGGCCTGGAACACCAGCCCTGAGGAGTTAAAAATGCTTCATCATCATAAATATATATAAAACACACGTCCCTATGCATGCACAGCAAATACACAAGCATATAAATGTGTGTCTATACACATAGGCATATTTAAAACCAGCAAACATGTTTGTCGTACTTATCTCACACATTTCCTTGGTCTGAGTCGATTCCAAATCCAGCTGATGTGACCAAAAAAAGTCACCGAGGCCAGATGACATCCCACTGCCAAAGCAGGCGCAATTCCCCTGCTTTTAGCAAGGGAGAAATAGGGGTCTTGGGAGTAAACAGAAAGGATGAAGAGCCACCTCCAGCCGGCCAAGGCTTTGAGCTCGGTGCATTGGCTGAGTGCTGTGGGCTAGAACTGCTCCTTCTAGAGACTGTCGTCTCCTGGGGGGTGGTAAATGGCTGAGAAGGGCGCAGTCGCAGCGTTTCTGGCCGTGTTCTCCTGCATAACTGGTGCAGAGCTTGGCGTGGGCTGCTGAGGTCTCGAGGACAGGGGTTTCGGGTCTCTCCGTGGAGAGCAAAACTCATTTCTCTCTGTCTCAGATGCGCCGAGGCCAGTGGTGTGCTGGGATCCATAAGGAAATGGCACCGGTCTCAGGAGAGCTGAGAGAGCCACAGCAAAGCCTCGAGGTCCTCAAAGGATCTGCTAGTCTGGAATCCCACCTCTAACCTGGGCTTCCCATGGAGGAACAGGACTCGGCAGCCCCGGGCAGAGGTCCCTTTCCAGTTACAAGCTGGCTGCAGCCCCCGTTGGGTTAAGACCCCCCCCCAAGAAAAGGCATGGGGGGGCTCCAGCATCCGAGGGAGCTGAGTAGCATCCCCACCACGCTGACCCAAATCTCCCCTCCCCCAGCAGAAGAAAGCCTGAATTTCTCACTCTCTTTATCCTCTTGGAAGGAGCAAAATACACAGAGCAATGAAGCAGAGGGATATTGTGGCTCCTAGCTTGGGAGTTTTCAGCTGTGTGTTTATCAGCTCCATCCCCTGATGCTATCAGCACGAACAGGCCACCCACAAGAAGGCTTAGCAGGCTGGTCTGGACTCCAGCTTTTCCCCTCTGCCTCCGTGTGTGTGTATATACACCACCGAGTATCCCAGGGACCGGCCGTCTGGGGCCTGCCTCCATTTATTTACTACACAGCTGATGTAATGGCTAAACATTTTTTTTCTGTGTTTATGGGGTGTGTTTTTTCAATCTGCCAGAGATGAATAGACCCCTAGAGAAGGCGGCTTAGTCGTGTCCCTTCTTGGATAGGAAACAACAAAGTTTAGGGCAGGAAATGGGAACAACTTAAACAAATGAGTGTAGGATTTTTGTATTTAGGTTCCCCAGCTCTCTTCCCTGGCAGATCCAAGAGATGCTTTTTCCTCTGACTTTAATTCCGTGGGCAGGATATGGCCCAGGCTATCGGCCAGACTCGACAAGCCTCAAGGACAGTGCTCTAACCACCGGCTTTCTTCCTCCACCCCAACAGGCACGTCAGACCTGAGCCCCTTCTCTGACCCCCGGCAGTTCGATCGCTCCTTCCCGACGCTGCCGGCTCTCACCGAGACCCGGTTCTCCGACCCACGGATGCATTACCCCGGCGCCATGTCTGCTGCCTTCCCCTACACCGCGACGCCCTCCGCCACGGGCATCGGCGGCATCAGCATGACCAGCATGCCCACCACGACGCGCTTCCACCACACTTACCTGCCGCCTCCCTACCCCGGCTCCACGCAAAACCAAAGTGGACCCTTCCAGGCCAACCCCTCTCCCTACCATTTGTACTACGGCACGTCTTCGGGCTCCTACCAGTTCTCCATGGTGGCGGGCGGTGAGCGCTCCCCTACCCGGATGCTCTCTTCTTGTACAAGTGCCTCAGCGGGGAACAGCTTAATGAATCCCAACCTGGGCAACCAGAACGACGGGGTGGATGCGGACGGGAGCCACAGTAACTCGCCGACGACCATGACGACTACTGGGAGGATGGATGAGTCAGTCTGGAGACCCTACTAGGAGGAACTCAACCTATAGCTTTAACTTAATCAGCCACCGTTAACGTTACTCCTTTCGGTAATGAATAGAGCAAAATGATGCCTAGGGAAAAGGTAAACCAAAGTCTCCCAAACCAAAAGCAAGCCAGGATCCTCCGTATGCAAGCATGGGCAAACATCAAGTGAAGACGGACCAGGACCTGCGTTACATTTCAAGATGAACGTCCTCGAGGCTTGAATTTTGTCGCTTGATGTGGTTCCTTTCGTATGTTTTAAGTATGTGGATTGTACATAGGGAAAACAAAAAGGACGTGTGGAATCAGAGGTTTGTTTCTTTCAGAACACTTCTCAGTCATCTCACTCGCCCCCCCCTTCCCCACAGAAAGCATTCAAAAGTTGTGAAAAGCTCACCCTTCGTCTGCAAATTGTTTCAGAGAAGAGAAAAGACCGGGGAATCATCCAAGCCATCTCTCTGCCAATGCAGGAAGACTGAAATGAAAAAAAAAAAAGGAAAAAAAAAAAAATTTTGTTTTCCATTGGTGACCAGTTGGTGTGATTAAAAATTATAACCATAATTACCAGCAGCTCATTTTGTTTTGCGGAGCCGCGCACGGCGCGCGAGAGTCTGGTTTACAGCGCGACGGCGGGGCCTGGGGCACGCGCGGGGTCGGCCAGCGTCAGCCATGTGAACAAGAGCTGTGACACGACGGTTGTTATTTGTTGCTGGCGACAGAGGTTGTATTGTTCATTTTTTGTCATTGTCGTCATTTTTAAAACAGTAACGTGGTTGATCCCGTGCCTGACAGGCCCCCCTTCCCTCTATGTTTACAGATGAGATGTACTTTTTACGAGATGTGTTTTGTTTCGTTTTGTTTGCTCCTCTGTCCTGACCTCGCCACTCAGTTCTTTGCTCCTCTTCGCAAATCTCGGTGGTGGTGGCTGGAGCGGAGGCAGCGCTCAGGACAAGCCAAGGTGTATGAGATGCACTTCCACGTGCGTCAGCTGCAAAGGGGACTCGGGAGCCTTTGGCGTGACCCTGCCGCCGGTCCCTGGCTCTTCCTTTCATCCTCTCTGAGTGGCGATGCGTGCCACTGCTGGCGAAGCGTCGTATTTCTCTTACGATTCTTTCCCAGGTTTTCACCCAGAGCGGATTGACACACAGTGACTTTTTTTATTAAGAAATGACTTTTACACTTGTCAGTTCAGACTGAAAGTTCTGACTGAGATTTGGAGAAAGGTGCAATTTCTACTCAGTTCCTTGGTGGTGGGAATATTGCAAAGCAACGTTATCTAGCATTTTCCATCCCCTCGCCCTCCTTTCCCTTCCCCCAGGTGACCCGGAGCAGGGGTATCTGGCTGCAGACGGGGCACTGAAGGTACCACCGGCTGGGTGGCAGCCGGTTGCGTCACGCAGCGTTCGGAGGAACCCGGTCTCCGGGCACCACACACCCCCATAGCTGCTACCGCAGAGACGCCAGCCCGAACGGGAGCGCGACGGGCGGTCGCAGGCAGCCGGAGGGGTGGCAGGGGCTCCCCCAGGGCTACGTTGGTGGCCAGGCTCCGGCGCACGCCGCAGGGCTGTGTTGCCTCCCACCAGCCAGCTGTGCTTTCTGCGCCACCAGTAACCAAGCCTTTTTTTGTTTTGTTTTTTTCATGAGCATAGGAAAATTGCCCCCCCCCCAGCTGCTCTCCCAGCCCCTCTGTCTCAGCCACACCAGTACAGCCGCGTCGCCTGTCACCGAATCTCAGTCGGCAGCTTGGCAGCGCGTTGTAATTGCACTACCACGCCAAGACTGGAGCACGACATCCTGGCTTCGTTGGCAAGCTGCGATGACCACTCACGAGTTAAATAAGCAACAAGAAGAACAACTTTTTAAAATAATAAATAATAATAAAAAAAGCCCTACCCCAGCAAAACTGCAACCTCCACTTGCCTTAGCGACCGCGAGCACCTCTCCGGTGCTTGCCAGCTGTAGAAACCGGACCACGGCAGCCTGTGTTTTGACGCATTTACGTTTACCATCCGATCGCGCCACTGGTTGAAAGCACAAAGAAAACAAGGCATTCGTAGGACTAGGTTAATTTAAGACTGTTCGTAGCGAATTTAAAAAATAAAATAGTAAAAAGAATGGCAACGATGTTATTTTTATGACATATTGTCATGTGAAGGTGTAAAGATATGCACCTCTGTTATATGCAAATGGTCACGAGACAGGCCAACGTTTTTTGCTTTGCACTATAATTTGCTTTTTTAAAAAAATGCACAATCGCTTGTACAGTAAAACCCCTTTGTCTGGCTCACAGAATATTTAACTATAAAATCTAATTTTTGGTCTTATTTGTTATAATAATATAATTCTTAAATGTGTTGAAGGATCCGATTCTTAATAATGCTTCTAATACTTGTATGTGCAGGGTAAAATCACAACAAGCAGCTAAGGAGATGAGAGCAAAGATCTCTGTAGATAAAGAAGGCTAAAGCTGTTGGGTTTTTTAATGGTGTCTGACAATGGACGTTAAAAAAAAAAATGCTAGTGATACCAAATAATGTGGTTATTTGTGTAATATACCAGCCCTACTTGAAGGTAATGCCCTATATTTAATATGTAGCCCATCTTTTTAACCTGTAGCACTTGTCACTGGGGAGGGGGGAGGCGGGGAGGGAGGGGGAGGAAGAGGAGGGTCTGCTCCTGTTGAAGTCATTGGAACAAGCTCTCGCTGGAGACGTCTCTGCTGCGCTGGCTTCGGCGAGGACAGAGCCGGGCTCCGTCGTGGGCGGGTGGGGATCGCCTTGGTACGTAGCAAAGTGGTCAGTTCTGCTTTTCTGTTATCGGTGTCGATGTTCTTATCCAATGTGCGTGATTATATCGTCAGGCCTCCGTGTAATCATTTTAATGACTTTCCATGTGGAATAATAAACATACGGTTACAAGTCACCCGCTGCCTTCCGCCTGCTCGCTGCTCACCTGGGGGGAGCAGATCTGCGCCCCGGTTCAGAGTAGGGTTTGTCACGCTGCTCTTTCTCCAGGGTCTAATTCTGGCACTTCTCCGAGCACCCCGGGGCCAGGGCTGG